CCCCCCCCCCCCCCAACTCAGCCCATGGCTCCTGCACTTTGAGTTGGGGGGAGGCTGCCAGCTTTGAACTTGCCGCAATCGGGAGGCTGGGATTTGTTTTCTTTAGTACTGGGAGGCTGATTTCATTGCTTTGGGGTGGGGGGTGGGGGGGCTGGATGGGAGCCTCTTTAAAGTTGCCCCCCCCCCACCCCTCAACTTGCTGGGTGCCACTGGAGGTCGACGGTGAGCCGGTGTTCAGGTGCAGTTTCTTTTCGGTAGTGAGCGCTGTGGTGACTCTTGAGCCGCGGTTTGGTGAGGATCCCCGGGGAGGCCTCTTTGCAGGGGGGGGTCGGCACGTTACCACGCGCAGGGTGGGCTTACAGATCGCTGGGGGGCTGGTCGGTACACACGTCCTGAGGAAGTGAAATACAACCACTCCCCGTTTAGTGGCTACCGTGGTTTGCGGCCATTCGCAAATACGACGGTAATAAAAAATTCATTTTCCAACTAATGTGCTCATTTACGACCGAATTTCAAACACATGCTGGAAGGAAACAGATCTTTGAAGTACAATGTACAAACTGTCGTTCATGCAATTGAGTATGGACAGCTAAAGTAAAGTCTTAAGCATGGACCCAACCATTTGGCTTAACAACCTGGTTATAGGAATCGACCTTGTCACTAAATTAGGAGCGGTTGTACACAAAAATGGGGAAGATTATCCCCGTTGAAAAATTGAGATAAAGATATGAGGATGGTCCCTGTCGTAGTATAATAGATTAAAAAAGGGGAGATTATCCCTGTCGAAGGCGTGCAAACATTATCTCCAAACCCTCTTTATGTTACGTTTCATTGACATTTTTAAAAGAGCAAACAATGGGAAGTAAAAAGAACAAAATTGAGGTGTATCTATGGTGCATCGTTGAATTTAATAGTATAGGATGGCCGATAGAGAGCTTCTCATTGCAGTTGGACAGGATACCAGGCAGAAGAGAGACAGGAGGGAGGGTTTGCCTCCATTGCTTTCTGAAGCATATTTTTAGCATCTGGCCTTGTTTTAGGCTAATAAGTTTGTCTTCGGTTTCTTAACCAATCATATTATCTCCAGTAGATGTCACTCGTGGTAATATCTGACATGGGTTGCAGTTAATTGTCTGTGGAGAAAGATGATGTATTCCTCAAAGGCCTCTCCTAATGGAGCACTCACCCCATGTCAGAAGTCTGTCAGCGGTAAGAGTAAGGACTCGATCTTAAATAAGCGTATGGCAGGCACTATGAATTTTTTCTCTAGCGCCTTTAAGGAGGAGTGAGGGAGAAGCCTTTCCATAGAGCTTTGGACAGATGCACTTCTGTTGGACCATTTGGCGAACATACGCTGTCTTAAAGCCAATCTGTTTCTTTCTTAATGATTCGTGCGCGCTAATAGGATTTTACCCCGAAGGCCGTGAGCCAATCGACACTGCGTAAATCCGGCCAGGCCTCAAATGTGCAGCGGCGTCGCTAAGGTGCCGTGGTGTAAGATTTCGATATTTTCTGCTCATCGAGCGGCGAGTCGCGCTGCCAAACCTTGTTATAACCGTAGTGGTGCTAACATCTTGCACCGATGACTTCTTCCGTGCCATTATTAATTCAAGCCACGGCGTGTCGTGACGCAGATGGCCTGGAAGGATCTCCGATGCAGGAACTACACGTATGTGTGTGTGGCAGGCAGTGAGGGAAAGGCTGGCCGCGTCTGGGGCCGTGGCGGCGGTGAATTCAGCCTCCGAGGGCCGGGCAGCGATTAGTGCTCAGGGGCACCGACTAGGCTGGTTTGTCCTGGTGAATAATCTTTTTTCTTCATCGATTGTGCCAATTTTGGTGACCTGGGTTTCTACCCTGCTGCAAGCACAGGTTCATATGCAACACATCGTTTGTGTGTGTGTGAGTCCTTTCTTTTTAATTTCTGTGGGACTTTTTCTTACAAATGCAGAATAAATAGACGGAGAGATAATTCATACAGATATTTAAATGGATGTGCTGCTCTGTGAAAGCCTGACAGTGTACTAATTACTCGGCGAGAGTGTTTTGTCTTGGAGATTTAAGACGCTAGGGCTTCACTGAGAGATGGCCTTACCCCATCTGTTCTCAAGTTGTGTGGCTTAAGGGTGAAACTGCTCTGAATTAATCACTTGCGAAGCCTTTTAAAAATATATATATTTAAAGTGAATTATTTTAATCTGAAATCACTCTTGTAACTTGTTAACAGGCTCGCTTGCTTGAGGGGTGTTTTATATGTTAATGCCATATGCGTTTGAGGACAGAGACAGAGAAAGTCAGGAAATAATCAATCAGTCAGTCAGTCAATTAAATTTTTATTTCTCTTGTGCATTTCCACGTGCGACTCATCAAAGCCCTTTACATTTAACAGGAGAGATAGAAACATCCAAAACACATCCAGTTTGCCCATATTGGGGAATTTGTTCCCCCGACCACATTGTAGGAGAACAATTGGAAAATGCTCGTGGAAAATAACATCTATAAATATTGTCTATAAATAATACGAATATGTCATCGCCCCCCCCGAAGAGTGGGAAATCCAGGGCAACAATATGGATGTAAAAAATAAAATGTGGTCATTTAAAGGTGAATTTTTAAGGCCCCGTTCGCTTGGAACCGGAGAAAATGGGGCTGGTTAATAAAGCAACAAAGGAAGTGATCACGAAATAACCCTAAATGAATCAGACAAGATCGAAGCTCGCCAAGTTCATAGCCTTAGGTGAGAGCGTGAAAACGTGTTATTCTTTCATTCAGAAGTGTTGCGGTAGGTATACGCAGGTGTACGACATATAGCCTACCCATCGCTAAAAAATGGATTTACCGTATATCCATCTAAAAATGGCCAGAAATGCGTATCAGTCAAAGAAATACGTAAACGCAATTATAACAGTATACCCACCTACCAAAGCACCATTACGCCACTGATTCAGGTTATCAATCAAAATAATGTGCGAAGTAATCTTGAGTTAACCAAAGACGCACAGGTCGGCTGTAGACGGCGGATAACACTGGCGCATTAGGGAGCGCAAACGCCGGGCATTTACACTGATCGCCGGCGGTTCCTGGGCATTAAGCCGGGAAGGGGGTGCACGCATGTTTCTCTATTTTTTTTTTTGATGGGTGCACGTCTGTCTTTTTTAACGGTATGCTCTGTAAACAGGCCACAGAAAGTTGTATTTGGCTGGAAATTAATTATTTAATTATGCATTATTTAAGCCCGAAAATAATTTTTAACCTAACGTGACAATTTGGCTGAAATGAAATGCAAATTTGCTTGCCAGTGACATTTTAAAATATTGGCTTAAAAAACCCATTTTAAATGGGCCGAAGTGTCAGCAAAAATAACTAAAACCAGAAAATAAAGCAGTGTCCCGAAAGACTTAAAAAGGGATTGTTTAATATTGTTTACAATGCTGCAGGTTTTTAAAATGTATATTTTTAATATTTCTGGTCGTTCTCTCTTTTTTTTTTTTCCTTTTTCAAGTCAATCATGAAAACAGGCTGCAGAAACGCAAAAAGCGGCGCCGACCGAAGAATTTAAAAAAAAAAGCGCAACTCAGGCAAGGTTGCAGTCATTATTTCGGTACCTATCGGAGTGCCCTGCAGTTATTTTAATGTTTTTTTTATATCTTTTATTATCAACTTATCAAGCCCAAGGAGCAGATTAATAACATGTATAAATTCATACACCTTGAATTCACACAGCTCGAAAGGTGTGAGAATGGCTTTGGAGAGTCGGCGAAGACTTAAAATACACGCAGTGTAATTACTAATATGCATTTTCGCATAGTTCATTTGACGGACTTTTAGTTGGCTTGAGAAAATGTAGCGTTCTCCATCTAGAAAGTGGTGTAAATGACTGATCTGTTTAATTAATCAGGTCTTTCCTAGCAGGATAGGCGAGATGGAAAAAAGCAGCAGGAGGTTTTAAAATAATTTGCGCTATTATTTTAAGAGGTCTTTAAATCGGATCTTATCTGCGCGCCGGGCTGTATAATGTGAAAATTCAGTGGGCGGAAATAAAATGAGCCACGGCCAGGTTTTCAAAGCGCAGACGAGGATCCGAAACAGACGGGGGAGGCGGTGGCACGGCGCCCGGGCTCAGCAAACGCCGCCCCGGGTTTCTTATGCGCCGTAAGCCGACACCTAGGACTCGGCGGCCAGCCTTTGCGAGGTGTCCCGATCCCAGGGGGGCGATCGAGCCCATCGTAACCGTTAGTGCCCGATCTGTGCAAAGAATCACAAGACGGGAGAAGATTTTGCCCTGGGGAACGCTTGCCCCCCGTCAATATGCCGGCATATCTAGTGTTCATTCTTTCTCAAATATACATTCATTTACCGTCAACAACGTCTTTGTCTGCACTATCATAAGCACAAAGCGTCAGGCTAAGATTAATGAAACGTTTAGACAAGCCTGTGAGGACTATTGTACCATGTGCGACATTTGAAACCTACAAGGCACTTTTTTGGTGGTGATGGTGGTGTGTGTGTGTGTGGGGGGGGGTGGTTGGTCTGTATTCAGGTATGGGCAGAATTTTGAGACAAGATGCTATAATAGTGTATAAAAATAAACTACAAAATACAGCCACCACGCAAAGTATTAAAATAAACGACAGTATTTTGTATCTTAAAAGTGTATAAATCCATTTCACACATTCCTTTAGTGGCTTGTTTCTTCACGAGCACACTTGCCGAAATGGCCAAGCATAACAGTAACGTTTTTTCACTACTAAACGAAACAATGCAAATGTAAAGGCAAGTAAAAGAACGAATATTTTTAAGTGTGTAAAATACATCCCAACTACTCACATGAGCAATCAGGTAACGGTAAGTCAATCGAATGAACAGATAATCATAACTCTCTTTTTTTTGTAATTTAAATAATTACTTTTTTGTGTGTAAGTTTAACAAAACAGCTTCTTTTTTTGTACCACAGATGCAAATAACTAACAATAAAATGTAAAATAAAAATGACAAACTAAGGTTAAATGCTTCACTCAGCAACATCTTAAAAACTTAATCACAAATAGCCCTAAATGGACCTTGTAAGTATTTGGCTTCAAGACAGTGATCAGCTATTTGCTCTAATGACAATTAATAAAAATGTATAAAAAAAACGAAGCATTTTTCACACATGACGTCATCACGCATATATTACGGGGGAAGTCTTTCGTGTATTTTCAAAAATACTAAATTACTGAACATCGAAGTGTATGGATAAAGATTACATGATCGTTTTGAATACAATTTTACATTTAAAATACATATTTTAAATACATGTATCAGAAATACTGCCCGTCCCTGTCTACATTAACACCAGTGCTTCTTGATTAATTCCGGAAAAAGACATGGCAACCGCTCCCCTAATTACAGTGAAGCAGCCCAATAAGTATTTAACACCAGGATCTAACCAGCTAGGCCTCCTTAAGCAGGAACTAGATACTAATTACTTGCCACACTGCACAAACAATAAAACAAAGACAGCACATCACTGTGTAACTGATATTGTAGGGCTGCTATTGCTGAAGTTGTAATTGAATGAATTATAGGCTTCCGAACAGGAATCACTAAGCAATTCAATTAGAGCCACACAACAAATCCAATTAAAATCACGAATACCAGTTATGCTCGTTATGGTTGCTGTATGTGTGAGGCGCGGTTACTCACAGACCCAAAATAAAATCATATTTCCTGGTTTGTTCTCCTCCCCAGTGGGAAGAAATTGGGGAGGTGGATGAGAACTACTCCCCAATTCATACGTATCAGGTGTGCAAGGTGATGGAGCACAACCAGAACAACTGGCTTCAGACCAACTGGATTCTGACTGAGGGGGCGCAGAGGGTCTTTGTGGAGCTCAAGTTCACCCTGAGGGACTGCAACAGTCTCCCCGGTGGCCTAGGGACCTGCAAGGAGACCTTTAACATATTCTACTTCGAGTCGAATGAGAAGCAGGAGCGTGTCATCCGCGAGAGCGACTACGTCAAGATCGACACCATCGCGGCCGACGAGAGCTTCACGGAGCTGGACCTTGGCGACAGGGTGATGAAACTCAACACGGAAGTGAGGGACCTGGGGCCTCTGACCAAGAAGGGCTTCTACCTGGCCTTCCAGGACGTGGGAGCTTGCATCGCCCTGGTCTCCGTACGCGTCTTCTACAAGAAGTGCCCAGCCGTCGTCAAGAACTTGGCCCTCTTTCCGGATACCATCACTGGGTCGGACTCCTCTCAGCTCCTGGAGGTTTCGGGGATCTGCGTCAACATGTCGGTGGCAGAGGACCTTCCCAGAATGCACTGCAGCGCAGAGGGGGAGTGGCTGGTGCCCATTGGGAAGTGCATGTGCCAGCCAGGTTATGAAGAGCAGAATGGAACGTGCCAAGGTGGGTCTGTGCACATGTACGTGTGTGTGTGCCTGTGTGTTACTGCACAGAATAGGTGTGACTGATTGTCAGACGAATGTGACTATAAGCCTGCTGGTTTGGACAGTGTAAATGATAGAGCCATATATATAAATACCTAAGTGATGTTGCATCTAAATCAGGGTTGGGGAACCTTATCCATGGAGTGATGGTACGGGTTTTTGGGATGACCTCTCAATCAGCCAATCACAGTGGGTTCCTGGAGTTGAGAACCACTGCTTTATTGTTGGCTGATTGAGAGGTCATCCCAAAAACCTGCACCTACACCAAGCCTCAGTGGATCACGTTCCCCACCCCAGATCTAAATGATGAGACCGTGAGGGCCAAGAAAATCCACATTAATAACCCGAAACAGGACAGTGAGTCTCACAAGGCCAAAGCCTGAAGGCAGATGAATAGCTAAAATAAATAAAGTTACTTTTTTCCAATTTAAATTTAAAATTATTTAGTGATGGATGGATTCGCAACTGTATAAGTGCCATAATTAATGAGCAGTAATTATACAGCCGGTTACGGATATGTCACTCACCGCAAATAAGTCATGATTACCTCATTAATCTAAACGCAGCGAGTGCTTCCATATTGTAATTCGTCCAGTGAGCTTGGTGAATTTCTGATTACACGCTAAAGAGTTGGAGATGGCGGCAGGTGTGACAGGTGAAGTTCCCATTGTGGAGCTATGACTTTATAGCCAACAAGGCGAGCCCTCATTGGCTCCTCCCTACTAACATTGTGCACGTGGTTGGATAACGTTGAGGGGAAGAACCGTGTGTGAGTTTCTGATGCTTTGAGATTGCCTCCCAATTTATGCATTAAATGTGATGAGTCAGCACCTTCTCATAGGTAATGCAGGTATAGAATAACATCCCTTTACGGAATATGAATCGTTAAACTGTACCTTGCATTTCCCTTGGCCTCAGGCCTGTACGACTCTCACGTTTTGTTCCAGTTTTTATTAAAAGCCAGATCTAACTCTGGAGCAGCATATATACCTTTCACTTCTTTGGTTCCAAGTTAAATTCAGTTTCGGAGTGAAATAAATCACGTTCTACGTACTACCACCATGTCGTCCCATGTAGCATGTCCTAGGCCTTGAGTACTGTGCTTTTTGAATAGACTCCGAGTGCTTCTGGACGCTGGAAAGACGTGTTTCTAGTACAGTGTCTTTCCTGTTGGATAATCTGCATTTTTAGAGGTCTGAAAGTGTTCCGCGTATGCTCCGTATTTTACCAAAATGCCGGCACTGGATGGTTGTGTCAATAGTACATCAAAGCCCACGGTGTCAGCAGATAACCGACCAAATGCCAGGTAGTGAATCTAAGCAGGCAGTACAGTGGCTGTGCGGGTGGAGGGCATTGCTGGCCGCGCCGGAGAGCTATCGGCTAGGCCGGGGATCCGGTCGCCAGCGAGTGCCAGCTGCTGGCAGATGGGAGGGTGACCTGCCTGGTGCTCTGAAAGGCCTCCTAATGACAGTGGTCACTCGCCCCGCTAACTTCTTCACTGCTAATGGCCAAAAAATACTTTTAACCTTTGCTACTTAAAATAATAGGGAAAAAGAACTAGTGTGGCAATTCAGACGGTGATTGCTCTTTGGGAAGCTCGGTAAACTGGTCTTCACCAATGAGGGCCCCGGAATGCTCTAGAAACGTTCGCCACCCGGCGTTCTCGCACCGAAGACTGGGGGGGCCTGCTGTGAAGACAATGGGCCAAGGAATCAGTATGCTGTCCCAGCACATCCGTCATAATGCACAGGTGCATGATGGGAAGAAACTGACAAAGCAACAGCTGGCCTTCGGTGGGGGAGGGGGGGGTCACCGCATTGATTAATTAGACGAGGGAACAAAAAAGACGGCGGGCTGAACGGGCCTGTCATCGGAACAGCTTGGTTCCGGCACCCTTTGGGCTCCAGCTTCGGGGTGACGTTCCGACTGCAGCGGCTGAACCGCAGACAGACGCTAATTGATTTTTTTGTGGGTCGGACTGCGAGCCCGGATATTTAAATTCAGGCCCCATATGGAGCGCGATACGCAGGCGCAGCCTGACCTTTCGGCGACGTTGATTTATCGACGGGACGCAGCTCTCCGGTCGTCAGCGTCCCCGACGTGTGGTTCGGATGGCAAGAGGCCGAGCTTCCGCCAACGGCCGCCAGTGCTCTGTGGCTCTTACCGTAGCTTTCGGTCACTGGGTAGCTCCGAAGCGAGCCAGTGGGGCCCCCGTGCGAGCCGCTCCCAGCATGCGTGTGAACACCCAGCCAAAGTTTCTGTTTTCCCACGTTTGTGTCCCTAGCCTCCAGTAAACAGATCCTTATGCCAGTTTCCATGGTAACCCGAGACCTCGCTTCAATCTCTGACATTCAGACGTATTAAATTCAGAATTTTTCTCCGGTTAGCGAGGCGGGTGCACAGGGATGCAAACGGGGCTGATCATCTTTTTTCTTCAAAATAAAATTTAGTGTAAGTGCATTTACAACACACCATCAAACATTAAGATTTGACCTTGTACAACCTGCCTGCATATCCTTCTTATATTATTTATTTATATAAGACCATTTTAGTCTCAAAATAAAAGCCTGTGGTTCCTGCTATAAAATTTCTCAACAAACAAACATATATATATATAATTTATTAATTTGTTTGTTTGTTTATTTATACATGCACTCATACATACACAAACATGCACACACATGTAAAATCGGGCCTTTTTGCCAGCCATGCCCCAGCAAGGTCCCGACCCACTCGGCACAGATTCGTGTCATCGAGCAGCCAATGCTCTGTGAGACAATCGACCCCAGCAATTTACCGTGGCTCCGTCACGGTCCGCCGAGGAAATCCCCGTCGTCGCTCGCTCGTTTACCGTCCAGTGCGGTGTGGCCCTCCGGCTCCGCAGTTTGGAGAGCGGGCCTTGTGTGTTTGTGTATACACGCATGTAAGTCTGCATCTTGGCGTGTTGCCGGATTTCGGTGTCCGGGATCTGTCTGGCACCGTTCCACCCAGAAATTTTTGGTTTGGTTTTCCACCAGCACGTGACATCCTGCATTCCTGTATGGAGGAAATTGCATCAAATGCAGCGTAAACGGGGAGGTGGTTCTTTGTCCCGCCGCCGCTCTGATTTCCGTGCGGCGTCTGCAGATGCTGTGTGCGCTGCCCATACTTTTGTGTTCATGGTCGATCGGCACGTCCGGTCCTCCGCTTGGAACTGCGGGGTCCCCCCCCCCCACCACCCGTTCTCGACAGATGATGTAAATAGTGTAAAAGGCTCTGAAAATCCCAGTGCAGATTGTTCTGGCTGTGATTCAGACACCAGGGAACAGAAAACCCTGGAAGCAAAGAGCTATCGAACCAAATCATCTGGAGAAGGTTCTGGATTCCATAATAATGGGGTAAAGGAGAGGTTAGAGTTTCTGTCAGCCGTGCAGCCGGAGACGGCGACCAGACCGACCCCACCAGTCAGACAGCAGCCCTCGGAATGCCCTCCTCATCCACCTATGCCACTTTAATGTACACTAGGCTACTAATGAGGTTGTCCTATCATATTATGCTCAGATTATGCAGATTTCGCTTCCTTCGGTTGCAGGACATTGTCATGTTTTGCTGAGGTGTTAGCTGCACTGTACTGTTATTCGTGATGGTATTTGTTTGGGATTTGTGTGCCTGAAGTTTCTGCTTGCCCCGTGGGAGCACCGTCCTCTTCTCTGGCTGTGTGCTTGTATCTACGCTCTGCGTTCTTTTTTTGATCAGCGACGAGAGCCCCCACTCCCCCATTCTGAGAGACAACCGTAGGTATAGCGGGAATAAATAAGGGCTGCATGCCGCATTTTCAGCAGCGCAGAGCGATCTTGGATCTCAAGAATCAATTCCGAGTTTGACCTTTCGTTTATGCGTGATCCATTAAAAAATGCTAACTCTTGGGATCGATGTGGGGTGTCTGAGGGGCCCTTTAATACCTCCGGCTGGCTTTGTGGACGCAAGGGAGCTGGATGCCCTCCCCAGCCGTGCGCCTCCCCAGCCATGAACCTCCTTGGCCGTGTGTCCATGTCCCTCCTCAGTGGGAAGGCCTGTGTCTCCATGACGGACATGCTTGTTTGGAGCACAGATGTGTGGTTTTTAGCCTGATAATTTAATCCTTTAAACGCCCACCGTGACCAAGCTGTGCTACTATAAACCAGTTTTCCCCACACCCATGCAGAGAAAACATACAGATTAACCCAAAAGGTGATCTTCTTTCTAAATCCCAGTAACCACTCTGGTGAATTAAGCATTTCATGACTTATCAAAAACAGGCTGAATTGTTTTTGATAATAAAATAATTGACATGATTCTGTTTTGCTTTAATTCGCTGGAAACAAAAACATTAATCCTAAAAAATGTGTCATTTATGAAAGGGGTTATGAAAAAGTCACGTACAGCTTAAAAGGCAGACGATTTAGTTGATTATGTACCCTTTTTAAATGATTATTTCTGGAATGTGTTCCATGAATAATTCCTCTCTCGCAAAGAGTGTGATGAATTACGAAGTTTTGTGACCCAGTTTTGTGTCCAGGCCTGCTCTGCGTATAAAGCGGGCGCTTTACTCTAACGGCAAGCCACGCCTCGACGTTGCACCGCCAAATCCTCCACACGCCAATCCTGCTTCTTGATTGTCGTTGGGCTTTTTTTTACAGAACAAAAAAATAAACAAAGGTAGGCCTTCAACAGCAGAGCTAAAACAAACGACTACATAAATGTTTATTAAAGGGCAGGAGGGACGGCTTATCATGTGTGCTGTTTGAAGAGGGAATTGGAACGATCCGTTATCAATTCATAAAGCTGAGCTTGTCATTTGCAAACGGCTAGGTTTTAGAAAAAATGCTTTGCAATGCACGAGAGAGGCGTATTATTATTGTGGTGCATCACAATCAAAATGTATTTTTCTATTTTTAATTTGCACTGTTTCACAGTGTGTCAGGAATGTGCCACAGAAAT